AAAAATCGGATTTGATCAAAAAATCGGAATTGAGCATTAAGACCTGCAGTGTGAACGTAGCCTAAGGGAGAAGCCAGCCACCCTTTGGAGGAAGCTCATTTCCGTCACTTGTATCAGCAATCTTGTTCTTTCTGTCACTACCCACAGCTCATGACCATAGGTGAGGTTAGGAACGTAGATCGACTGGTAAATTGAGTGCTTCGTTTTTGCACTCTTTACCACGATGGACCGGTACAGCGTCCGCAGCGCCGCCATCTCCACCATTCTTGTTAGGTGTCGCTCGGTCTCGTCCCGCAGTTCTTCCTGCCTGTGGCGCACCTCCGCCACCTGCTCCTGCTCGGTGGCCACAATTTCGGCCACTATCTGGGCCAGCTCCTCCCTTCCCTGGTTCAGGTGTGGACCCACCATGCCACTTCCTGGGTTTCGGCACCACTGTGCCAAGGATGATGCATGATGGGCAGCTCTTGGTTGCAGGCCGCACAGACTCCTTGCCACCACACACACCAACAACCCTGAGTCCCCGTGTCTTTAACTCGGCAGGCGTGATAGCAGATGCCATGCAGGTGCGTCTGCATGGCACCACAGACCACGCCCCACCACACGGTGACAAGTCCAGAAACAAGTCCAGACAAAGCTCTTGCAACAGTGATATAAGGATTGAATGGCCCATAGCAATGGACCAGACACCAAATTCTCCTGAAGCACCTCCCACCCCCCACTCTGACATGGTCGAATGCCTTCTCTAAGTCCACAAAACACATGTAGACTGGTTGGGCAAACTCCCATGCACCCTCAAATATCCTCGAGAGGGTAAAGAGCTGGTCGATTGTTCCACAATCAGGGTGAAAACTGCATTGTTCCCACTAACGACTAACAGACGGACTCTCCTTTCCAGCACCCTGGCATAGACTTTCCAAGGGAGGCTGAGTCCTTCCTGTGATAGTTGGAACACACCCTCCAGTCCCCCTTCTTAAAGATGGGAACCACCACCCCGGTCTGCCAATTCAGAGGTACAGTAACTGATCTCAATGCAACATTGTAGAGGTGTGTCAACCAAGACAGCACTACATCATCCAGAACCTTCAGGAACTCAGGGTGAAACTCATCCACCCCAGTGGCCCTGCCACAAAGGAGTTGTTTAATTGCCTCTTCTTTAACTCATATTGCTCCAGCAATGTTGAACTTGTCCGTCACTCCAGGTGAGACCCAGGTCACAGGCTTGTAACTCCCACTTAACTCAATTATGGTACTGCCCAACAAGGAGATGGCAAACCGGGACTTCTGCCTATTATTTCCTCTATGGCATTTAGCCCAACTGACATGGTCTTTAATGTGAGACTTGAAAATGCGAGAAAGGAATTCACATACTCTACCCAATTCCAAAAGCAAGACTGAACATACCGCTCATGAAAATACACTTTCAGCTTCACCTACCCCTGATGTCATCGGCCTTACTCACCAATGCCAGAGTCTGTAGCTACACCAGTGTCTGTCCATGGTGGGTTGTCTGAATATACCTCTGTGGTGAGTGAAATTCACTTTTCTCTTTATGCTTGCTCAGAGCCAGCAAACCAGAAAACAAAGAGTTTTGTTTTCAGCACCAAAAGTTTATAAACTGATTCTTTTGCTCCTGAGTCAGCCAGAACTAAAGTTTTCTGTTTTTCTTATAAACTGGCCCACAATAACTTTATGTTTTCAGTGTGTGTGAGTGTGTTTGCAAATGAAAGTTTTGTGTTTCGCAAATGAAACATTGCCTGGTCTGGATCTATGTTGTTAATGAAAGCGTTTTTTAGTGTTCTCTATCTGAGCTGGCCTCTTAGTTTTCCACACTGACAAGTAGAAGAAAGACAATTGCTGTGTCCGAATTCAGGGGAAGGATGCTCCGAAGGACACTACCTACCTACATCATGTAAGTAGGTAGTGTCCTTCGACGGAGGGGTAGTCAGGAAGTGAGCGGCTGTGGACAGCCTTTTCTTAATAGAAACTTTATTGAACAAACAAAGAGTATACAACATAACAGGTTGGCTGTGGACAGCCTTCTAGCCATCGTTCAAGTCCGCCCTTACTTACGTGTTTTTCCGGTCGGTAGCGCCACAGCGCGAAAACTTTAAAATGGACCCAGAAACGTCGCTCTGTTTTCTTATACATTTTTAATTCTCGAGGAGCTAGAAAAACCTTATTGTCATTGCCCGGTTGTTTTGTACCTTAGGCTCATCACAGACAATCATATCCAGGTAAAATAATTTCCTTTAATCTACATGCATTTAGGAATTACTTAGCTAATTACATGGATAATTGAATTATTGACGGTGGTGTGCCAAAAAGTGTTCGCCTGCCAAAAACTGATTGCCAATGTTTCCATCTGCAATATCTTCATGTATGTTGGTAAAAAAAAAAACTTTGGTGAACACGGTTTACAAATGGGTTATATATATAATTTAAAAATTACCTGTTTTTCAAGTATCTTTATAACTCTGGTTATAATGTAGGTACAGTTGATATATTTGTTGCACTGTCTGCTGCCCTCTTGGCCAGATTACTCTTAAAAAATTAATTTTTAATGTCAACAAGATTGTTTGTGAACTGGATAAATAAAGGATAAATAAAAGTCACTGCCCAAAACTGATTGCAGCCTCTACCTTGTTACAGGAATGTTGCTTGAGGCTCAAGGTGACTGGATATCATTAATGAGAGATACATTTGACATATGTTTCACGTATAGCAGTTTAAATACGAGCAATCAGTTTTGGGCAAAAACC